TTGAGTAGGTGGTTTCCTTGTTCCCACGTAAACGATGCTGAATGTGTTCCCTCTGGATACAGGGAAGCCTGGAAATTCTGAGGCACTGAGACTGAAGGCATGGGCCTTGCTGTGTATGACCAGGCAGTGCTGCAGCTGGGCTCCCGCACCATCCTGCTGAGCTAACGAGGCCCTAACGAGGCAGGAGGGCAGCAATGTGGAGGCCCATGGAGTTGGTGCTTTAGATAACAAATAACATGGCATTGACTGCCAATATGTACTGGAAATCGTTCTGAAGTGTAGTGGGTGCAAAATTGGGAGTTGTGCTTTCCAAAAACTAGATATAGGTATGATACAGTCCTTAAGGAAAGATGAAGAGCTGTGCTGCAAAATGCTAATAAAGTATAAAAATGAGAGCCAAGGGTGGATTGGCAAAATACTGCTAAATGATTCCGTGGTTTTTAGTGTGGGGGTGGTGTAGTTATTGACTCAGGGCAATGTTCTTGAGGAGAAAATGCCTCAGAAGCATAATGCTGAGGGACTCTCAATGCAGGAAGGCTTGTGGGGCAACTCATACCAGCAGCCCAACTGGGTGGGCGACAGGCCTTGCTTGGGCTGCCTGGATTCACCACCTGACTCTGGGGATAAAGATCACAATGTGGGTTTTGCCATTAAAACTTCTGAGATCATGGCTCTCAACTCTAATTGGGGCTTAATTTTTAATAAGATAATTATTCCTTCTTCATCATACATAACTATAGTTTCATATGTACTTGTTTGCTTCAGGACTTTACTTTTTAGTAAAATAGTTAGAGCTCTAGATATTTTGTCTTGAAACTTAGAAAGTGAAAAGCCACGACCTGTAGGTTTTCCTTGGAGGACCTTTCTTGTATTAAGGATTTCTTGAATTCACTGGTGAATGGAAGCACCATCACAATATTGGTTGTACTGTTGTACTGTTACGGGTAATAATACGTTTGTTTTAACTCAAAGTTTTGCTAAGACTCTTTTCCAGCTTGTGATATAGCCTGTGCATTAGTCACACAAAGGCATAGGTCCCTGAAAAAAAGATCAAAAATCCCAGCAACTGGAGAAGCAAGACTTTTGAGGTCACTCGGTTTGTTACCCTGTCAGTAGCAGTAATCAAAATTATGTTACTCTTTTACTCCTTTTATGCTACCATACGGCTTTGCACATGCATGTTCCTGCACTACAATAAATCTCTTAGTTGCTTTATTGCCCAGGTTTTTCTACCTTTTTCACTATTTTTCTCTTCCCGCTTTATTGAGAAACTGTTCTTATTATGGGTAGCAAGTGTAGAAGATTTCATGCCTATGTGCTTTTGACTTATTTTATAGCATTCCCTCTTCTTGTTTCAGTTGCAGCATCATAGATCTTCCAGAAGTATTCCAGTAAGATTTTTTGAAATTCACAGTTTTCTACCTGCTTAGCTCCTGCAAGTATGTGTGCTGACTAATTTAACAAAAATCACATAGCTGTCATCTGTATTTTCTTCACTGATTTCCTGACTCTAGAATTTTCAGTAGAATTCTCCTTTACATAGGGAGAAAAAATGCTTTTGTTTAAGAAACAAAACAAAAACTTTAGGATGATCCATTCTCCTCAAGATTTCTGCATCATGAAGAGTTCTCCGTAATTTTGGTGTATTTCCTTTGAGTTTCATCTTCTCTTTATTTAAGCAGTTAATTAAGATCCATGCAGATGTTCAGAGATGCTCATGAGCACTTTGAATTTCAGGACAGATCTTTGCTGAGACCTATGAGACCTTTTTTCCACCTGAAGAGATGGAGCGAGTTGGTGTGGAGTTGAGAGAAGGACATGCATGAGTAAAATAGGCAGTGGCTGTGGAGAAACAGCCTCAAAGTAATCAGCTCAACCAGATGATAGGGCAGATTGGGGGGAAAAAAAGACATTTTTGAGCACATAAAGCCCTCAAAAACAGCAATTTTCAGGTAAAGTAAAAACTGAATCAATTCAATGCGAGGGAGATCAGTAGTTGCTGCATGGGTCAGAGGAGAAAGTCAGCAGAGGGGAAAGAGACTTGAAGTCAGCTACAGCATGAGGAAGTGTCATCCTCAACGGGCTGCAACTTACGACCATATGAGTCACTTTGGGCAAGTGTCCAACGTGGAAGCGTGACTCCTCAGAGAGAGCGTAAAGGAGCAGCCTTGAGGACCTTGATTCGTGATCTGAAAGCTGGCTTGCACCAGGGATGACACAAATGACAGCTGTGGACCTTGAAGCTTAGACGAAAAGGGGCTAAGAAAGGGTAGCTGGTGAACTGAGTAAAGAAGGAGTTATATGGTCCAGAAAACTGGATCACTTTTTTGGAATGTATAGGAGTACCTTGCATCGTACGTGGAATGCTGGGTTTAGCCGTGTTTTATAAATCACACTCCTGTAGCCTGCTTAATTCCATTTCAGGAGTCTCTGCCATACTTTGCATCTCATCTGATCTGACGAGCAAGGAAGACAGTATTTTATAGGTGGATTTTTTGTGTGTCTGTTGAGATTATGTGCTTTGGCATCTGGCTCTTATCAGTAATGAGGCAAAGAGGGAGCTGAATAGCTCTAAAATGCTGTCAGATTATACTGTGTGTTATTCCTCAGTCTGCAATTTATGATGGTTTGAAAACTTAGTAACAGTTCAGGGTGTACTGTCTGTGCCAGGGGCTCATACCTGGTGTAGGACAGTTGGTGAAAAAAGCCCCTTCCCCTTCAAATTGGAATTGGTCTAACAGGAAAGTGGAACCCTGAAATACATTGGCTGCTCTATGGGGGATCTCTTCCAATTGCTGAAGCAAGTAATGTGCCACTCACACAGGTATTCCTCTCGTGAATGAACATCGGGTAGTGTGACTTCATAGTTCTTGCTCCAGTATTCCACTAGTACACTCTGTTTCATTCTTAGAGATGGTGGGAATTGTTTTTTCATTTAAATTGTCATACAGTTATTTTCTCAAAAAAAAAGCTAGACTTTTTTTGTTTGTTTATTTATTGAGGGCATTCAAAAAATAGTAACATAAAGTAGTCACAAATAGTTTTCATAGCTGTTAGATAGAGTATAATATATAACTGGCTGAGGTTAATTGTCTAACATCTTTGATGATTGTGCTTGCTATGAATGTGATTTTTTTAAAATCCTCCTAACTCTCATTTATTTTAGGAGTACTTGCTTAAAATGTAGGGAATGCATAAAACTTGATTCCCAAAACAGAAATCTCCCTGGCTTTGCAGATGTAAATGGGAAAAGGCTGTACTTTTATCTTGGATACTGACACATTTTTGATGTTTGTCATATTGTACTGGCAACTTCAAGATGAAGTTTTCTCATATGTTCCTGGAATCATCGCATAACTGCTGAGCCGTAAGCTAGGACAAACTAGGTAATTCCAGCCCTCAAAGCCCTTTCAAAAAAGGCAAGAAGGAGGACCCGAGTAACTACAGGCTGGTGAGCCTCACCTCCATCCCCAGGAAAGTGATGGAGCAGCTCATCCTGGCTGCTCTCTCCAGACACATGGAGCAGAAGAAGGTGCTCAGGAGTAGCCAGCATGGATTCACCAAGGGGAAATCCTGCTTGACTAACCTGATCACCTTCTACGAAGGAATATCTAGCTGGATAGATGAGGGCAGAGCGGTGGATGTGGTCTATCTGGATTTGAGCAAGGCTTTTGACACTGTCCCTCACAGCATCCTCCTGGGCAAGCTCCGAAGCTGTGGGATAGATGAGTGGACGGGGAGGTGGATTAGGAATTGGCTCGATGGCAGGGTGCAGAGAGTGGTTGTCAATGGTGCGGAGTCCAGCTGGAGGCCTGTACTTAGTGGTGTCCCCCAGGGGTCAGTTCTCGGTCCGGTCCTGTTCAACTTATTCATTAACGACCTGGATGAAGGGCTGGAGTGCTCCCTCAGCAAGTTTGCCGATGATACCAAACTGGGTGGAGTAGCTGATAGCCCTGAGGGCTGTGCTGCCATCCAGAGGGACCTGGACAGACTGGAGGACTGGGCGGCGAGAAACCTCATGAGGTTCAACAGGGGCAAGTGCACTTGGAGAGGAATAACCCTGGACACCAGTACAGATTAGGGGTGGACCTGCTGGAGAGCAGCCCTGCAGAGAGGGACCTGGGTGTCATGGTGGACGACAAGTTGACCATGAGGCAGCAGTGTGCCCTGGTGGCCAAGAAGGCTAACGGGATCCTGGGGTGCATTAAGAAAAGCATCTCCAGCAGGTCGAGGGAAGTGATCATCCCCCTCTACTCAGCCCTGGTGAGGCCACATCTGGAGACTGTGTCCAGTTCTGGGTTCCCCAGTGCAAGAGGGATGTGGAGCTGCTGGAGAGAGTCCAGCGCAGGGCTACCAGGATGATCAGGGGCCTGGAACATCTGCCCTATGAGCAAAGGCTGAGAGAGCTGGGTCTGTTCAGCCTGGAGAAGAGGAGGCTGAGGGGGGACCTGATCAGCGTGTATAAATACCTCAAGGGAGGCAGTGAGGAGGAGGGGGCGGCCTCTTTTCAGTGGTGGCCAGCGACAGGACTAGAGGAAATGGCTTCAAACTGAAGCATCGGAAGTTCCACAGGAACTTAAGGAAGCATTTCTTCACTGTGAGGGTGACAAAGCACTGGAACAGGCTGCACAGAGAGGTTGTGGAGTCTCCTTCTGTGGAGATCTTTAAAACCCGCTTGGACGCAGCCCTGTGCCACGTGCTCTAGGTGACCCTGCGTGAGCAGGAGGGTTGGACTCGATGACCTCTGAGGTCCCTTCCAACCTTCGGCATTCTATGATTCTATGATTCTATGATTCTATGATTCTATGATTCTATGAAAGAATGTGTCCTAAACTTCAGTGCTACTGTTCATTATTGTGTGTCTTTACAGTGAATCTGAAAAAAAACATAAACTCCCATGTGGACTAGAATAATATTGTGTAACACCCCAAAGAAAAGAAAAAGGAAGAATGTTTTCTGACTTGGAAAGTTTCCTGTATCATTTATGTGGCCACCCTTCTTCCCAAATATATTTCTTGGGAGAGTAACTCTCTTCATCCCAGGTGGGTTGTATCTTATAAGAAATGCATACAGTGCATATATATATATATATATATGTATGTATGCTATCATATTGTATGTATAGTATGAATTTGTTGTAAGACAATGCACTCTATAGATATCCAAAACTTACTAATAACTCAATAATAACTTCGCAAACGAAGACAAAATAAACGCTGACTTGTAGAAATGTTCAAGGAAAAGCTTTGCATAACTGAATTATATGCTGTGCTGCTTTATATGACAGTGGGCGAGTCAGAGCTATAATTGCTGCTGTGCTAAATCTCTTTGGAAAAGGTACTTAAAACGACTCTGTGCGAGTGCCTAATGTGATGCATTTCATAATGATTCTGAAAAAAATCTTACCTATGTAAGTATGTATTAGTAATATCTGCAATAAAGCCACCTTAGGGTGCTGAAAATGTACAGCAGCTTTTAGTAAAGAAAATTAAGAGAAATTTCTTGACAAAGAGTACAAACTGTTCTAGATGATCGAGATTAAGTTTAGAAAATATGACTGAGTGTTCACAAATTACTAGAGTCTCTTTTTTATGCAACATGGTGTTGATATATGTTGTGCTGGGGTACAGTCTCAGCTCTTGCATGACATGAAAAAATTAGTATCCCTTTCTGCACCCCTTGACTCTTCCTTCAAGTAGTGACTAGTCTTGAGGCAACCAAGTACCATAGAGGTCAAGGCCAATGGTAAAGGTGGTTTGGTTGTAGCAGACTGAGCAGTAATCCCTTAACAGATGATGATAAAATACTAGGGAAAAAAAAAAAAAAAAAGAGTTTACATATTGTGAGAAATTACCAGATGAATTAAATTTTCATTTGTAACTGAAGAGACCTACCTCATGTAGAAAGATGAAGTAGAGATCGAATGTTGCTCATTGCCAAGTTGCAGATTAGTGAAACAGCCATTCCAGAACCTTCTGACTACCATCTTCCTTCTTCATATCTATATTTAAGATGTGCTAAGGATCATAACATCCAAAGGATAGTTGTCATCTGAGAAGACTTGGAAAACTGTTATAGTTGTTCTGTGCTGGGCAGGAGAAAACCAGGAGTCCAGTACCCACTTAGGAACAAAATGAACTGGGAAACATGTGATTTTGTTTCTCTCTAGATGATTTTCACTGCCCAATAAGGGAGAGAAAAGTTTTCATGTGAGTCTGTTTTGTTACTTGGTGTCCCTAAATTTAAAAAAAAAAAAAAACTTGTCAAAGTCTACTACTAGTGTTATAAGTAGCACAAAATTTTAATTTACAGGGAACTTTATAATGAAGATGGAAGTCTCCCTAAGGCTACAGGAATAGATTAAAAAGAGCAAGAGAAGGACATGATCTAAAAGCTGAAAATAGCTGAAGCAAACCCAGCAGCACTGGTTCACACTGGGGCAGAACAGAAGATTAACAGATATATGCTATTAGCAGATATACGCTATTGCCAGAGAGCAGCAGCAGAGCCAGGAACTGAGAGTGACTGGGAGGAAGGTGGGGACAGGCAGGGCCTCCCCAACAGGAGTGCAGACCTGCAGGCCCCTGGCCCGGGGACAGCCAAGGGACCTGGTGGAGGGCTTCCTGAAGCCTCTCTTGGCTCTTTCCCACAGCCTAGCTCTTTTCCCAGAAGTCTGATTCAAGGCTGCACCACAGTAGAGCTGACCTTCAATTTGGGTACTTAAATGGTGAGGGTGCATGGGAACGCATTTGAGTTTCTTGGTGCACTAAGTACCTGGCAAACGCTAACTTTAAAATTATTGAGGATATGGAGCTGATGTTAGGTTCCTAGGTGTATGAATAATGCAGTCTTGTATTATACTTACATAAATAATTGGTATAGTTACAAAACAAAAATTTGTAAAGAAATACTTAACCAAGAGGATCGAATTGTTCACGTCCTAATAACTTTTCATATGCTACATATGGAGCAGAATTTGCTCAGCTGTGGAAGGTATGCAGTTCTGTAAACCTCTTGACTGTTTTCAGCTTCCACAGTTATAAAACTAGATCAGTGCAGCACTGGGTCACTGATCAGTGATACTAATCTGATCTGCATCTTGCACAGCATGTGATCTCAGTTCTGTAGAACCAGCCAAAGGACGTGGTAAAGAGAACAGGCGAGATGCCATCTTGTCCATCTTCCATTCACCAACATAAAATTAGCATGAAGCCTGCTTTTGCCTTTCTGTGAGAATGTGACCTCTCAAAGATAGCTTACATCAGAGCATTGCCACAAATCACACAGCAGCAACATCTTCTGGTCCAGCATCCGGAGCCTGAGACTGGAGTCACCACGTTGGCAGATGCACAGCCTTACCCACTTGTTTTGCTACGGATTGTGCTGCTACAGTCATGTTAAAATACTTTGTCATGCCTAATATTTACAGTATAGTTTGCCCTGCCCTGAAAGGGGTAACAAAGAAGTGCTCTCGTGTGATTGTAGCCTCTGTTTATGGTAAGGGAGGGACTTTTTTCTTTCCTGTGCCTGGAAAAAAAAACCTGCCTGTAGCTCATTTAACTAGATTGTCTGACTTTTTTATTTATAACCCATGGGCTTTTTTCTTCTTCTTCTATGAATTAAGTGCGAGACTTCAAACTTTTTGTAATCCATTAGTCTGAAAGGATGATTCAGAATGATGTCATGCGGGAAACCTTGAATCTAATATATCACGTGTAGTGTTTGTACAAATGATGAATGCATCCCAAGAGTGTAAGAAATTGCCCTTATTTGAGCTATTCATGCATTTTATGTAGTCATCCAAGCAAAAACACAGTTCAGAGTTGGATGCAAAACCATGCTCATAAAGTAAGTAGCCTCCTAGCACTGGAGAAGCCCAAATCCCAAAAAAGACATTAATGTTTATACTTCTGAGTAGATCAGGAAATACCTAAAATGAGGGTTTCTTATCTAGGGCTCTTGCATTCCAAAATCTAATTCTGAAGGTATAAAAGCAAGTTTAGGGCAAGATGTTAGAAATGAGGATGGATTTTTGAAAGTGAGAGTTTCAGGATCCAGGCAACATCTCTGCTGTAATATCTGGGAGGCTATTAAACAAGTCAGAAAATATTTCAGTTCAGAATAAAGCACAAGTATTTTGTTTTACTCATCACCTTCTGTTTCTTCATTCACAAACAAAAGTGTAACCTGAATCTCATTTAATATGTTAAAAGAAGATTTTTAGTTTGAAATGGGGAAAATCCAATGGTGTTCTCCTCAGAGAGTGCTCTAGAGCTCAGTCGAAGGGGTTGTTTGTAGAAAAGTATGATAAGTACCTAGATGCTGGGGACTGTTTCTTGGTGAGCTGAGGAAACCCTGTGTGGAGATTGCTATAGTCAAATGCCAAGGACAAATTCTCTCTATGAGGCATGAGCTTGGACTTCACTGCACAAAGCAGAAGACTGAGAGTGACTCAGTAGGCTTCACAAACCTTAAATCTTTGCACTCCTGCATTGGTTTTCAAGCACAAGTTTGCTTTTCTGTCACATTCAGGGTGCATAAACTGCTTCCATCCTGCACTGCTATAATGTTGCTGAAGTGCAGAGGCAGATCTGCTGGGGCCTGTCAGGGTAATTGGAAGAAAATAGAAACAGAAATGAGACCAGCCTTATGTGTTAGTGAGAAGGAGGGGTAGCAGTAAATCCTTATCATGACAGTTTAAAAGGAAATTGTTTTTGTTGAAAGTTACACAACCGTTTGTTGAAAGGTACTCAAACTATATTAAAACACTGCTCTACTTAATAATATATAATTTCTTATATTGTGCATTTTTATATAAGGAATAATTTTATATATTGAATAATATGCAGAGAGAGCTATCCAAGTGCCTCCAAGTGCCTTGTGTGCAGCTTTCATGGAGGACTGCAGATCTATGCATCACAAAAACTGCTGGTAGTCAAGGGAAAGCCCTCTAGTCTAGGTCTGTCTTTCAGCTGGCAGTTATTTTTCCCTCATTATCTGAGCCACAGTCGGTCTTCCTTCTTAAATCTTTTGCTCCTCATTTTCCTTTTTGTAATCCTGAAAAGAGGAGATGAAACACCCAGTAGCATAACTAAATCAGAAGAAGAATGTGGAGTCCTACTGATGTACTTCAGACTTCTGGCACCTTCAGAATTGCATTATATTATTCATTTCTATCCACAGTTTTATAATCAAATGTTCCCTTCTCCAATGATGAATGTTAAGAGCAGGAAAAATGTATTAGTATCTGTTGGAATTGGAGAGAGAGACAAGTGGACTGGAGACAAGTAGATAAGCATTGCCTGAATAAGTGGCTGTTGCAGGCATTTTCATCTCTTGAAAAATAAAAACAGCCTTCTATTCTTAGTGTGCAACCATGTCAGATAATTGTCCTTCCCTTTCTCATTTCCTATATCCTTGGGAATTTGGTTCTATAAAGACAACAGTTGCTTCTCCTGGAAATTTCTGATGATGCAGGATGAGCAAGAGTAGTGACGAGCTCAAACAACTCATAGAAAATGTGTAGATCATTAGCAATGTGGAGAAAAGTACTTTTGATTCTTGTGTTTTTCTCTTGAGGACAAGTTAGGTGCTGGCCAACTTAACGGTTTAAGATTGTGTCTTCAAGGAAAAGATGTACTAAAGAAGAAATATGCTTGTATTTTGCAGGTAGAAGCTTATTCCATACTTCCAAGATGTATCATGAGACATCTTTTTGACATGTTTCTGCTGGGGAGTCTTATTAGGAAGATGGTCTCTTCTGTCATTCTGAGACTCTGCATAGCCCAGGGAAACTGGAGAAGCTCTCGAAAGAATTGCCCCACTGTTGCCCTGAGCAATGGTTGTTCGCTGAAACAGTATTCTGTATTCTGTTTGGCACTTGGGAAAAATGTCTTTTGTTCTGATCTGCCTCTGTTTTTTTAAAGCATGGGGTGGGGAGTAGGGTAGAAGAGCCTCTCTGAAATCCTTGCTTCCTTCAGACCTTTCATGTTGTATTCAACCTTTGTATCTTTGTATATTCAATAAAATTTGAGAAAAATTTTCATGTTGTTTGTTCCAGTTATCTCATGCTGTATCCCAATTAATAGGAAAAGGCAACACTTTGATGTTATAAAGTCCTGCAGCCACTCAGTTAACTTACCTTGCAACAAAGGTTTGAGAAAGGTGTATAATAACCACACTCAACGAAGATGAAATTTGCTAGCAATGCTGTTGTTTTTTAAGATCTTATCTTACCTTATCTCTTTATGAATTTACCTGATGCTGAAACATGCTGTCTTAAAAAGCCCTTGTGATGACTAGAGATCCACCCAGAAATATCATTTTGTATCTTCAGAACTTTAGGACAGGCTCAATACCAAAATCTGCTTGTTTTGCAGTCACAGTGATAACTTGAAAACCCCTGGAGTTTTCACTGTTGCTTACTCTCCTGGATAATCTGAAAAAAGGAAAATGATACCCAGCCTGTGGTCAAAACCGCTTGTAGAAGAGCTGAAGGCAGTGATAAAGAAAGGTATTTTTAGATATTTTATGTAGCTTTTCTGAAGTAAATTTATCTCAAGTGTACTTAAATCTGTAGCTGATCATATATATTCATATGCCTTATTTTTGATCCAGGAGAAAGATGGATTTGAGCTCTGTAAATCATCAAACTGAAAACATTATCAGAAATTCTTTTGATCTGAGAAAGATTACACCTATTTAAGAATGAGTACAAACTACATGAACTTACGAAAAGTTATTTTCTGTCTGTCCTACCAAAAGTAATAAGGGAATAACCTTTTAGCTAGAAATCAGCCTAAAACAGTGAAAATAAATAAAACAAAAATAACCATTTGAAATTTTTTTTTTTTAGTCCTTTCCCAACATAGAGAGTATTCTTTTGTCAATTATATTTATGGACTATGGTATTTGGTATGTGTAGAAGGATGCTGATGAGTAGTACTAATTTCTTTGCAGTGTGGCTGGATGCAGTGTGGATCCCTTGGCAAAGAAAGGCAAGGGATGCAATGGGGAGCTATGCAAAAGGCAGACCTCTATGAAAATACATGGAAATACATAGTATCTGGGGAATTGCAAAAAGACATGGAAATATTTTCCTTTCTATTTTGCCTAGTGTTATGGGACCTTTTTAAAGTAAACTTCTGGGTGTGAAGGCCAGCTGAGACAGCCAAGTGTGAGAGTGGATGAAATGATTTTGTTAAATAAGGATGGATGTAATAGGGTAGAGAGGATGAACCGTCATGCTAAGAACCCTCTTTAATAGCAATATGTAACATGTGAGTAAGGAGTAGCAGCGGCTGGTCTTAGGGCTGCTTCTGCTATGAGTTGGATTCCTTTCATTTTTTTTAGCTGTAAATGAAGACAGAGTCTTGGCCACAATGTTTAACTAAGTTGCTGTACTTGAAATTGTATGTATTTTTAGATTAATCAATTAGTGCTTGCCTGTAGCATCTTAAACTGTTTTATTCAGGAAGCAAATGTAAGTGGTGTGTGCAAGTAACTCAATGCTTTTATGTAAAGACCTCTAAAGTCTTTTAAAATTCATTTTTGAATTGTAAAAAATTCTTCTTCAGAAACAAATTAGAGTAGAAAAAATACTGAATTTGAAAGAGTGGGTTGCTAGGACCAGTAGCACTTATGCCCCTAACTTGAAGAACTTGCAAGAAAGTTGTATGATTATGAAATGTGGTGTTGTATTTTTAAAAAGAAAGAAATTTCTTGCTTACCATAGCAACCTTTTGCTACACAGTTCACATGCTAGAAAGATGCATGACAACTTGCTGGAGAAACTCCCACACTTGCCCTTGCAATGTAACATTACGAATTTGTAAAGCTTTTTGTGGAAATTGTTTAAAGAAACAATTCCAGCATCTAAATACAACTGTTGGGTGGGAGGAGAGGTTTGAGTATTTTTATTTTTTCCGTTTCACTGAAAATTGCTTCTAAGGATCACACACACACACAAAAAAAACAAAGGTTCTGAAGGTTGGTTAACATTTGCTTTTTCTATTGCACTCTATGGGAGGGAATAGGAAAGTAGCAAGTGTGCAGTCCACTTCAGCTGATGAAAATCAGTGGCACTTTGAAAGTGCCCTGGATTAGAGCAACTCTCCTGTGTAGGCAGTTCTTATGAGTTAAAGAAATTAAAGTCCCCTAATAGGCACTTAATTCACTGGATTGATTGCAACCAGTTCTCAGCTACTGTCTTCAGAGATTTCTGACACGTTCTGAGAACAGGGCTGCAATTATTAGTTGATTTGGTGCCTGCGGCTCCAGTACATCAGAGCTGCACAGGTACGTGACAAAGAATGTCCTGCCTTGAAGTGGATGTAAGATGTAGTCTGAGGATTCATCCTGATTTCTGTAACTGAGAGATGGTGGGATTCTGCGCAGGCTGACAGGCACGCGGCTTTGTGGGAAGGCCGAGGAGCAGAAATGGCTGTTTTGCCTGGATTTCCTCACACACCTCCGCTGAACCGGGAATAGCCGTGGAGAGGATCCACCAGCTGCCCTACCTCCCGCCCCTGCCACGCTGTCGCTGTGTTAACGCTGCCAAGGAACGTGGGCACGGGTAGGCGGGAGAGCAGCTGCTCCGAGCTTTTTGGGAAGGACATTCCTGAGAGAAAGCGCAGAAGGAACAGGCAGGGGTAGCCCAGTGCGTCCTCCAGATGATAGGTTTGTGATGCCGGTGTGTGACCAGGCACACTCTGCCTCCACAATGGTTCTGTTTGAAGATCTTTTGGACTAGGGAGCAACTGGAGAGCCAGGAGCCAAGGGCGACAAGTGGCCGGGGCCACCCCAAGAGTGCAGCCCACAGCCCCGAGACAGGAGGGCAGGCAGTGGACCCGACACCGAGGTGGGTCCAAGCTCAGACCAGGGGCCACCTCAGTGGGTGCAGGTCAGCGCAGCACTTGCTGAGAACAGAACACCTGCAAGACAGCTCAGGCCTGAGGATGGGCCTGGGTTTAAATGCAGCCCCAAGCTGGGGGAGGCCGAGGGATTCCATGAAGTGGTCACAGCTCTTTCCCACCACATAGCTCTTCTCCCGGCAGCCTTACCCAGGCCAGGCCACTGCAGAGCTGACCTTCCACACAGGCAACTAAGCCCTGAGAAGCAGGGAGAAAATGCTGCAGTATCTCTGCTTCTTAGGGTCCTGTCTATATCTATGATTTTTAAGAGCCTTTTCTCATTAAATTTTCTAATTCCCACAGCTCCAACCTCAGGGTAATATTACATTTTGTGTATTCCCCAGTGTACTCGTATTCCAACCTATTCCCCTACAGATGATGGAGGGAGAAGGCATTCTGCACATACCAACTGTATCAGGCATGCTATTAATGTATGTTTGCCTCAGATACTCAAATGCCACTGAGCAGAACAGGCACGTATTGCAATACGATGTTCTCGTGACCTGCCGCTGGGACAGTGCAACCACAGGAAATGGGAGAAATAGAAAACTCTTAGCCTGAATGCCTTGCTTTTCATTGCGGGCTGCAACTGAGTTCTGTGATTCCCTGCTTCCCCTCCTGCTAATTGGGCTCTGGAATTACAAAAACTGAAAGGGCAGCAGCCTCCCTGTCCTCTCCTGAATCCTGCCCTCCACGCTGCCTCTTGGCATGAGTTGTAGCTCAGCGAGGACCGGCAGGGATGCGGGACAGAAGCAGAGCTGGGCAGGGAGGCTCTGCGGGACACACCAAGGATCTGTGGCAGGTTTGAGCCTTGGAGGGAAACGGCTCCCTGTAAGGCCAAAGCTGCGCTCCAGCGCTGCGCTATCACATGGTAAATGTGTGTTACCACATCAGCTAGATAAGTGTGATGCTGGGAGAGCAGAGTGCGAAACACTGTGAAGTATTCAAGTGGAAAGTGTTATAAACAGGGAAAATATCACTTCTCTTACGGAGGCAAGACAAGGACCTTTTTAGAGGAATTAGCCTGACAGGATAATCTCCTGTGTTTGACTTTCTTCTCCCCTCTTGACCTGATGGAGTTCCAAAAAGACAGTAAATCAGAAAGGTCCAATTTTGACAGCGTATTATACTGGCATCTCCTTTATTTGTGAGAATAAGACTAGATATGATTTTTAGTGATAAGGGGAAAATACTCTTCCCTTTCCCTTTTTTTTTTTTTTTTGTTTCCTTTGTAAATGTGCTGTCTGGCTTTATTGGATGCCAAATTCCTTAGTTTTGGGTGCTGTGACAAACCAAGGCAGGACTGTGACAGACCTGCTCAAATGCCAACTTTCCAATCTCCTACCCAGGAGTGGATGCAGCCCTAACATCAGTGAACCAACCCTTGTACTGCCTCCTGTGTTGAGGCAAATGACAGAGAACGAGACAGCAAATCAGGGCTGCAGACAGAGAGAAATCCCCATCTCTGAACAGCATTTCAGGCTAAGCCCTGTTCTGACCCGTTCTGTCCTTCGAACCTGTGAAGGAGGGCTGGGGATGCTGGGGTGCATCTGGAAGGGCATAAAGCATTTGCTCCCTCCCTTGAGCAACAACACACTGTTTGTATCCAGAGATGGAAAAGGCTAGAGGAAGGGATAATGTTAGAGTCTAGGAGCCTGTATATTTACCCCCAGTGAGTGCTGCACTGCTCTAACACTCTGAACACGAGGTGGGCCCAGGACTGCCATTTGTTCTACCCACCCATGAGTAACCTCCCCTCTTGCAGAGGCCACTGAAGTTACTCAGCCCTCATGTACTCACACGCTTTGTGGTGTCTGAGCAAATATCTGCTCTTTGGTCTCTAGATG